TATATATATATATAAAATATAATATGTAGTAAAGAAATGTGTTGATATGGCTAATATACAAGACATTAAAGACATGTATACTAGAGTTTTTACTTGTGTTCAAGCTAAAGGAGCATTGACAAGTATTTTCTTATTTCTTTTGGATTACATCATGTATTGGCTTTAAGCTCTTATCTTTCTTCTTTAGTTATGAAGGCACTTAACTGTACATTTCTGGGAGGTTGTGTGTTGTTGTCTGCTTTTTGCTATTGATATTCATCTTGTGGATAAGACTACAGAAAGAGTTGAGGATAAACATGAATTATGTAGGTCTACATTAGAGTCTTAGATCTTTTGTTTATGTAGATTTAAAATTGAATACATGGAATGTAATTTTAGTAGTGGTAGATTTAGTGACATAGTTGTAACTATGGATGATCAAATCATTAAAATGAGCGAACATTTTAGATTTCTCATGTTTATTGTTCAAAATAATGTTGATATAAATGGGGATGTTATTAATAGAATTCAAGTTGTATGGTTGAAGTGGAGGAATATATCAGGCCTATTGTGTGATAGACAATTACCACTTCAATTCACTATGCACTTGTTTGAGCCTTTAAAACCGTTTTTTTCTCCAAACGATGTTTTTATTTTGTTTAGTTCGCATGTTTCATCAATTCGACCTGAAACAAGGTTTTTAATTACTGTAGAATCACAAATGCAGATTCAACCCCGTGATCCGCCGTTCGCGAATAAAAAAGCAATGTGGTCTTTTTTTTGCCATTCTGCCCTCGCCCCAAGCTTCCTTTCTCTCGCGTGCACTAAGCATTCCCGCGGGTTGTCCCGTCTTCTCTTGCTCTCACGCCCTAGCGATTGATTCTCCTAAGTTGTTCGGATAGGATTTGGAACACCGTTTTCTTTTTTATGGAGTTATGCCATGAGATTTTCAAATAACAAAGTTTGCTATGAGATTATTATGTTGTTTTGTTGAATTATGCTATCATCTGTTGGGATTTGGAACTCAATTATTCATACTTATTTTGCCGTTTGAAACTATGTTGTGAGATTCTTTTGTTGTGCAGTTGAATTTAACTTTCTCTTTCTGTTTTTGTGCGTGAGTCAAGGAAATATATAGGTAACCCAAATTCTGGTTCACGATTCTCTAGTAACCTTGTATGCTATATATTTGAGTTGATACTGTGGAATTCAAAACTCGAAACCACTTGGAATCTCGATTAATTAAGGATATGGATGAAAATTTGAACATGCGTGAAGATAAATAGTGTTTGGCAATTTTGGAAATGTTCACAGTGGTTGCGAGGCTCATTTAATTGAGGGTGGCTTTGGAAAAAAGCTTATTGAAATGTACTAAAAAATCACAACCACTGCGAATATTTCTAAAATCTTTTATCACTCTCCCAACATGTTCTTTTAAATCTCCTCCAATAAAAAATATTTTTTTTCTAGAAGTATCATTTATATTAATTCTTCTTGGTCATTCAAAAAATTTTCTTTTGAACTAATACATAAACCTACTTGCGCACAATTTTAGTCTCAATAACAATTTTTAGGACTACAATTCAATCTTGAATTCTATTAATTTTTATAACATTATTTTTTAAACTCTTATCTATAATTACACCAACACCATTTCTAGCGCCACTCCTAGCTAATAGCAAAAGTTTAAAATCTAGTCTTTTCTCCAACCCATTTATTTTCTTGTATGCTTCATATTCCTGTGAACCATAATATCTACCAATTACATTAATGTATCGAAGAGAATCTGTATTTCAAGATCCTAATATTACACAACATAAAATATGACAAAAAAAAGGTTAAAAATATGGTGATTTTATGAGTACCAGGAAAAAAAAGAAAAAAAAAAAAACAGGATTAGCATCTTAAAGAAGACGTAGAACATGCCGTGGACTTTTGCGCCAATAACATCTTTACAAATTCAGTGCATCAACGGAAATGAGACGGCAAATACAGTTGCATCTATTGAGCATCCCAAATGACTGCAGGCTGTAAGGTGCCTAACTATTTTCTCAAATATAATCATTAAAAACAAAATCATTATTTTACAAGTAATATAGTTTGCTTAATGTCAATAGCTAGGCAGATAAGAAAAAAATGTATAATACGAAAAACTGACTGAACATAACAGGCGTCATCAATGTTAAGCATCAAAATATCATTCCTTCCATCACTGCCTAGCTTTATGTAGCTAATCGTAACAAAATCCAATACAACAGTTGATGATCTGAGCTTTCATAAAACAAACTATTAAACCAAATAAAATTTAAATCTGAATAACATGATCTTTTTCTTACCTCGCAGAAGACCTCGCACTCATGGAAGAATGGTAGGTGGTGCTCCTTTGCTTCCTATACGAAGTGTAAACATCATCATACTGGCTGACTTCATTCGGGTCTGCAGTAGCACCGAGTCCAAGTCTCCCGGTACTGTTCGATCCCGGTTTTCGGTCAACGCTCCCATCAGGAAACGTTCCAGTCTCTGGGTCAACCTGTAGATTTGGCGGCGGCGGTATGCAAGCACCACCCTTTCGAGCAATAGGCTCCCGATCATATTCAAAATCATCATTTGGTTCGGGTGAATTCATTGGCCCATCTGACGGGTTAACCTCGCCGATATCTTTGAAGAACTTTGCCACCCTCTCGAGGATCTCCGATGGTTGAATATTCGATGGCGGAATGACTGTAGGGATGTCGAGCGGGCTTAAGGGTGAGTATGGAACGCCGCTGCCGATCTGCATTTTACGAACCATGCCTGGGATGAGACCTGGGGGGAAAAGAGGGTATGGCGGAGGGGGTTTGTCGGATACGATGGGTGCGGCGCCGGGTAGAATACTTGGTTGCGGTGTGGCTTGAGCGGAATTCTTAAGTGGTAAGACCCCGGGGAATGAAGTCTGGGGCATAGGTTGATATATACCTACAGGGACTTGGTTTGGAAGGAACTGAGGACCGGTGGGTACAAATTGGGTTGGTGGGACAGAAATAGTGGGGTGTTGCTGGTCAGGCTCTGGGAGATCGACTAAGTTCTGTGGATCGGATTGCCATTCTGATGGTGTATTTCCTGTAGTTACCAGAGAAGCAAATGAGCTAATGAAAATAAAATTTCTGGAAACATTTCCCATAAAAGTTATGCAAGGAAGAAATTAATTGAAGATTTATATTCCTGTATTTGATATTCTGCATATGAATTTAAACAAGCAAGGATAAAAGAGTGACAAAAGATCTTGGGTAAATATTTAATAAATCTTGAAAAAGATAAACAGTGCAACATGAGGTTTTTTGTTATAGAAATTTGCAAATTTAAGAGGTTTCTGGGAGTCGAGAATCAGTTAGGAAACAAAAATAGTAGCTACTGCACAAGCTAACAGTATATTTTAACCATTTAGATTTCTTATAATGTGAGTTAAACATGATAAATTCTTGAGTTTTATTTTTCTACTAGCCCGATCGAGGGCTTTGGTTTGAGGGTTGTGGCTTAAACATAAATAATGAAAGAGTATGCTTCATAATTAGAACAAGATGTGTGATATATTTCATAATATAAGATAGTTGAGGATCGGATTAATTGACTAGAAGAGATATTTCTCATCTCTAGTGCATAATGATAAAATCTCTCATAATAAGAATATGGCCAAGCTGAGTATATTTACATCAAGTTCAAAAGAGAACTGGAGAACAAAAATCTGACATTAAATGGAGAATTGGGAGTTTAAAGGAATACTAAATAGAGTAATTAGAGAAGCTACATTAACAAGATTTCTAGAATTAAAAACAGCAAGGGTGAGGGCATCTCTGATTCTCTATCCATTGATAAATTTATTGTTACATTTTATAAGAATTTATCTTCTGATGAAGGTTTGTATTTACCTAAGATCAACTAGTCATTTGTTTAGACTGTCATTTTTCTCGAAGGCAACTTGATGCTTTCTTGGACCACTTCCTCTGAAGAAATTGAAAAGTAATTTCAACTTAAAGAACTCTACTGCAGCTGCCAAGTTTTAAATTTTTCATGAGAACATTATTAAGTAAAGATTTGATTAATATGGTCACCAGATGCTATGTTGGCACAAAGATCCTAAAATATTACTCTTTTACATTTACTGTTTTGATCCCTAACAAGTGCAACCCAAACTTTTGGTTCTTATACATCGCCTCTAATAAATTTGACTAAAATTATACCCGACAGATAACATGATCTAAGATACGATTCTCTCCACTAATTAGGTGGGTTGTTAAATAAGAAAATATTATAGATAACATCCTTAGACATGGCTACGACATCTACTCATGTTCAATGGCCTTTCTTGTTGACCTTTCTAAAGAAAGTTTATTTCCATTACAATGTTGTTGATAGAATTAAAGTTTTAATCTCCGATTATTAGTTCAGAGTAATCGTTAATGCTTGTCCTTATGATTTCTTTATATCTTTTATGGGTCTACGTCAGAAATATCTCATCCCTCCCCTCTTATTCATTATTTCAATTAAATATATCTCAAGAGGTTTGAATAAACTTTCTTAAAAGGAACCCCAACTTAGGGTATAATGTCTGCTGAAAATTTCTTATCACTCATTTAGCATTTGTTGACGCCATTATCATCTTTACAAAAGGTTATCATAGTTCTATAAAGAAATCATGATCTTTCTTAAGGATTATCAGAACTGCTCTAGTCAACTCATTAATATGAAGAAGTCTATCTTTGTCGTGTAAAATTGCATTTTTTACAACATTAATTCCATCAAGTAGGTTATTAAGTTTACCAGGAAAAAAAATGCATGTCTAATCTAGGTGTCCAATCATAGAGATAAAAAAAATCGGCAACCTTAGATATCATCACTAAAAAATCTAAAACAAAATTTTTTGGGTGAGATCACTCTTTCATGTCTCTAGGGGCTTGGCTTACTTTGATTAAACATACATTTAAGTGCTGTTCCTTCTTATTTGCTCCAAGTCCTTTACCTGCCTAAGATTTGATACCATACATTTAAGTGCTGTTCCTTCTTATTTACTCCAAGTCCTTTACCTGCCTAAGATTTGATACCATATTTATTAAATCATCCATAATTTTTCATTGGCGGCAAAAAAAATGGAAGTAAAATTATTTGGGCTGCCTACAACTCTATTTGTTATCCTGTAAAAGTGGTGGATTCGGTAATAAATCTTTTTGGAGTCTTATTTCGTCTTTTTCTCTTAAACTCTGGTGAAATTTAGTTAGAAGAACTTCCTTTGAAAGATTTCTTGTGCACAAAGTGTTGGGCTAATATAAAGCACTTTCTTGTGAGGAAAAAAATTACTGATTCCCTTACTCGGAAAGAGGATCGATACTATTAAAGATGAAGCTGATGACTATATTTGCCAAGGGCAGGTGATGAAAATATCTCTTTCTTGTATGACAGATGGATTTATCCCTTTATTTTAGTTGAAATGCACTACAAGGGGAAAAAATGAATACTACGTCAATCATTTCTTCTTAGGAACATATGAATACTCTCAATCATTTATTCTTAACATCATGCCCGCAATTGAAGTGAATATAATTATGATAATTTCCATTGATCTTGAAAACCAATGATGCTCATTTCTTAAAAGATGCTATACAGATTTTCTTTTCTCTTCAAATAACTTTTGAGGAATATTAGATGTACTATATGTTCAGAATATGTTATTATCCACATTTAAATTTCTATTTTTATGTGGTAAGCTCTTAAAGGATCATTTATGTTGATAATACAAGCAACAAAAGGGAATTAGTCTTGCCTCCAAATGTCAATTTATAACGACTAAAAATCTAGTGAACGTGTTTTATTTTTTATAACAAAGCTAGAAATGTCAAGGATCACTTTGTCAGATTCTTCGGTATTGTTATTATTGTTTGTTGTGCGCAGGAAATTTGTTAATAATAAAGTGAGAGATTAATATTTTAACTTTACATGAAATTCCAGCACACAAATAAAAAGAGTTGCAATTGATATGCTATTAATGTTGGTTGCGTGCAAGGAACTTGGCGGCAATAAAATGAAAGATTAATATCTTAATTTCATGAAAACATTAAACACATAAATAAAATAGTCATAAAAGAAAATAGGAAATTTTTTCCATGAAAATCGGAAAAAAGGAAAAGTCTCGGATTTGATTCAGCTGAAATAATTCAGCTAATATAAGTCATATGTTATAATTGATGCTCGTCTCTAAAATTGAGACAATTTATTTTGAAATAGTCAAGAATTGATTAGAATACATTTCATGATGAAAAAAATTTGAGGGCATTAGAGTTACTTTTAAAAGACTAATTGTGAAATACTTGGTTGTTCATCTTTGAGTGTAGTCGAGAACTAAGAAGTCAAGTATAATCTCAATTGCATGCATCAATATTATTTGCCAGCAAGGGTGACAAGGCATGTGGGTGTCATCATTGGTGTCTATGAAGTGCATCTTCCTAATTGGAAATTGCAAATGTTAACAATGGACATCAGCCTTAGAAATGAAAGCAACCCATATATGGCATGCAACAGCCTTATATGCAAGTAGAGGTTTCAAAAAATGACCTGACACCCCAACTTGGCCCGACCAAGACTTGAAAACTCTAGGTTTGGGTTGTTCCAAATAATTTATGAGTCGGGTTAGAACTAGGAATCATAACCCGTTTAATTTTTTAGGTCAGTTTCGGGTTGACCTGCCAATTTGAAATTGACCCACTAATCTGAAATTGACTCAAACTCGACCGACCAACCCGAAATTGACTTGAGATCGACTTGAATTTAACCTGAATATATATTATGCCATGTTAAATGGGTTATACGGGTCAGGTTCGGGTCAGCGGGTTGAAGGCAAGTTGGGTTCATTTCAAATCAGGCCAATTTCAAGTCAAACCCAAACCCGACCCGCAACCCGAATTGACACCCCTATATGCAATGGCAGGCAATGAAGTTATCAAGCAACATTGATCGAAACAACATGGTCGAGCAAACTCCAGTGGGGCGATGAAACAAGTGACCATAATTTGGCAAGGGACATAAACAATTAAAGATGGGCGATTATAGACGAGTGACCATGGACGAGTGCCAAAGTTAGGCAATGGAGGTTTAGCAATTGTAGATGGGTGACGACAACCAGTATACCATAATCAAGTAATGGCCTTGGTGATCGAGCTACTATATTTGGATGACCAAGATCAATTGACTGTGGCTAGGTCAATTGACCATGGCTAGACAATGAAAGTTAGACAATCCCAACTGATGGAGGTGGGGCTGCTACAAACTAGCGATGGAGGTCGAGCAACAGCAGATTGGCGATACTCGAGCATTAACAATGATTCAAAGATAGTGGTTGAAATGCAATGATTCGACTGCAATGGTTGAGCAATGATAGTTTGGTACTGTTTGTCTGGCGGTGGCAACTCAAAGAAGGTGGTTGCACAATAATGTTCTAATGATGGTGGTCGAGTGAAGAGAGCTCAACAACTGTGGTCAAGTTGTGCAGTGGTAATGATGCATGACAACGATTAGATGGGTGACGACAGTGGTTGGATGATAGAGGATAGAAGCTTGCGGATGAGCAACAACATTCTGATAATGGCAATCATATGACAACGATCTGATGAAGATGAGTAAGCAGCTATGGTCTAACAACAATGAACCGACAATAATCATTCGATGCAGTTGGTGGATGGTGGCTGTCAAATGGCGATGGGCGAGTAGCAGTGATTCAATTATAGTGATCATGTGACAATCCGATGACATGGATTGATAGCAGTCGTTTAATTATGGTAGTGGGATGACAACGATCAAATTGTTGTAGATAGGCAACGAAAATTCTATAACAGTGGTCTAATAACAATGATTTGATAACGATAGTAGATAGAGACAGATTGACAATAGTTGGCAGGCAGTGACAAACTAGCAGTGATGGCAAGATCAAGGTGTCTCAACGACAATGCTCAGACAACAATGGTCAGATGACATGACCCAACTGCAAAGGTTTGAAGGCCGTGAAAGAATGGAATTAGTCCAATGAAAGTGGATGAATAACGAAAATCAAACGATGACTGTTGGGAAATGATGAT